TGTACCCAAGTCAGCTCCCCCTTGCCCATGTGCATGGCTCAGGTCTGGCCTACTCACACATACCTTCACTGCAGTTCCCTCCAGTCCCACCACCTTTACCCATCTAAGGAAAATTTCTTTTTTCCTTTCTTCTTCCCTTTCTCTCACTCCTGTCTTCCCTGCAAAGTTCTTCAACTCAAATTCACTCCAGGCCTACTGTGTGCAAAGCATTTCCCCTTTCACATCCCTTCCCCAGCCCACACCCATCAGCTCACTCATGCCACCCCACATCAGATAAGATGCAGTCATCTGCTAACTGTGCTTGTAACTGTATTTATGTATTTGTTTGGCCTCACTTTTCACCCAGGAAACAAAAATGTGACCTTACCCTCCAACCAATTTATCATAATAAACTTCCACTCATGAGCCCAAAACAATGCTGAGTTTTAAACATCTTCACAAAGTAAATTAACCACTGCTCACTTGCATAATGTGTCACTGTCCTTTTCAATCCTGTCCAACTTGTTATCATAGTGTATAAGTACCTTGCAGCCTTTGCCATCTCTGAAGCTGTTCTGTGCACGCTGTGCAGGATTTGCCATGCTGGGAAGTGCACCTCCAGGAAGCCTTTCCTGCCAGGCAGAAAAACAAACAAACAAAAAATACACCCAGATTATACTTCATAAGGATTTTAGGTTCACGGCAAATGGAATCCTAGTGGAAATTTCCAAGGATTGCAATAAAGTTATACAATTCAGTCCCATCACATTTGGCATCCAACAAGCTAAGGACCTGTGAAAGCTCTGTAGGCATCTTCAGGTACTGAAATGCCTTCGGAAACAAGGCATGGAAACTGCAAAAGAGGCATTAAATGTTTAATCAGGTGTATGGGCAGCTCTTTGGTTCCGATCCCTGGATAAGATCAGATGAACACATACACTAAGACCCCCACAGATGTAGATGTGCAGAGAACAACTTTTCAAAGCTGTCCCTTCCCTGGCTCTGGACTCCCAGCCATCATTACAGACTGGTTTAAAAACAAACCACGAAAAGATCCCACAAACAACCCCCCCCCAACAACCAATCAATCTGTAGTCCTCCTGGGATGAAATAAATAAGCTATGAAGAGCTCCTCTCAGCTGTAACAGTGAGGATAGAAATGGAGGAAAACACAAGACTAACCAGGTACTGCACATGATATCTGCCATCTTCCATTCCCAGCAGGAGCTCTGAGTAATTCTTGCATTCAGTGTTGCTGCCACTGTCCAATCCAAGGACATCTTTTATACAATGCCTCACTGATAATCCTGTAAGGATTTTCAGCTCTGTCTTGTACAGCATTTTAATTGCTCACACTGTTTCAGGAGCTCAATCATTCACAGAAGGTATTTTCATCCCACTAATTGTAGGTTTCCCAGAGGACTCAGTACTGTATTTCATGTCCTCAGTGCTATTAAATGCTCTAGGAAAGCATCCAGACTTCCAGAAGTCATTTTTTTGGTGTGTGTATACAGTTTTGGAGAGGAAGAAGGCAAATCGGGGAAAGGAAAATTTTTAGGCATTAAACACTTTCATGAAAAAAGAGTCAAAAAGACAATATTTTAGATAATGTTACAATAGCCTCATCGAAGTTAGGTCTGGAACCTACAATTTCTGATACTAATAGCACGCAGGCATACCCCTGCACTGGGAGAAGTAATTTCTTTAGTTAGTAGCTAAAGGTTATATCTATATCTCTAGTGGCATCCACCCTAGGGAATGATTTCCAGCCTCCCAGGACAGGTAGTACGGAACATCTCATGCCGACACCGCCCAGGGCTATCTTGGCTCTAGAGCAGAGCGACCATGCCCACAATGTGTGGCACTTGGCCTTGTGGCCATAAGACATAATACTTGCTTCTGTGTGTGCTTGAGGTCACTATGCCTAAAATAATTTGAGTCGTGTGGCAGCCCAGGAAGGCAATGATTTTACTGCCTGACACTCAGGGCTGTGCTGCATGTCCTGCAGAAGGAGGGGGTGGTGGCAGGGTACAGCCAAAGAGCACAAGGTCTGGGATGGCTTGGAAGGACTGGAAGGGGCAGATGGAAGCCAAATGTCACAGTGCTGTGCTGCCTTCTGGGAGCAGTCCTGCAGGTCTCCTTTTGGTGGGGTCTAACTGGTTCACCTCAACACCAGACATGGAAATGGGCTTGGAGACTGATATATCTGGTAGTGTAGGTACATTTACTGCAGGCTGTCACCCCTCCTGAGCAGGCAAACCATTAGAGAGTCAGAGACCCACAGTCTCCAAATGCAACAGCTCAAGCCGTGTATTTTGAAGGAAGGAGAGAATGGAGGTTTCCAAGTGTATCTGTATAGCATATCTGAAAAGTAATAATTGTATGGTACTGCATTCCCTGGAGTGCTGGTAACGTCATACCTTCCCTCGGTGCCAAGGAAATTTAGACACAGCCCAAGGAGAAAACTGCAATTCTAGTGGAAAAAGGGCTGACATCTGCCAAGTCCCTGAAGCTCACCACACTGGGAGGGTGAGGGTATGGAGACAGCAGGTGGGAGATCTATAGCCTAAAGGAAAGCCCCTGTTGCCAGCCCCTTCCTATTGGGTACCAAGTGCTCTAAAGTCAAGACAATGTTCAGCCTTGTTTTCCATGATCCTGTAATGGTGGAAAAGGCTCACAAGTGCTGTCCCACAGATGAAGGCACTTGTACATGAGATGGGCAGTGGCAACCCTTAGTATACACACTCTTAGTTATGTGAAAGGCAGTTTGGCACCTTGGCTCATAACGGGGGCTGTGAGCAGATCAGCAGTAAATTATTAGATTGCTGTACCTCAACTGTGACCTTGAGTCTTCAGGAAAAATAGTCTTCATAATTGTGATCTCTGGACTGTTGTGGTATGCAGATCCCAGAAGGCAAGTCTGGTTTACTCTGGCTCTTAGCAAATGAGAATCTGCGTCACAAAACCCATTATCACAGTTGGCATTAACCAGCAATCATTTTACCAGTTATCTCTGCAAAAATACCCCGTTGAAATGGCCCAGGCAAGCCAGAAGACCCCTTTACCTTAAATAGCGACTTGTGGCTCCTGTCCTGACAGCAATTTTATCCTTAGAGAGTTCACTTTCACTACCCACAACCCTGCACCCTGGCACTCTCACCTGGCATATCTGACTGGGGTGGACCAAGGAGTATTCCAAAAATGGAACTTTTACATCCCCCGCAGGGGTACAAAGCACAGCGCAAACGGCATGACTCAGATGCTGCCTGGAACATGTAATGAGGATATTAAACTAGATCATCATTTTATAGGTTACTTTATTTTTAATTGAAAAAAAAAAAAAGAAAACACACAAGCCAACCAACCTACATATTTGGCCTTCAGATAAATTTTTTGTTTTACGTGACAGCTTTTTCCTCTACTTAAAAATTTGCATAAATACTGTCAAGACAGGACACGCATGGTAAAGAATATGCAAAAGCCCAAGCTAAGCCCAGCTGCCTGCCTCTCCCACTGTGCTCTGCCAGGACAGCAGAGATCAGTGGGGCTAGTACAGAGAGCAATCCCCCCTTCTGCATGTCACTAGGCCAGGGACTTGGTCCTGCTGGCACACAGCCTTCCCTTCAGTGAGCCCTTCAGTGACAGATCCCAAACAGAAAGCCTGGTTTCATTTCAGTCAGCCCTTCCTGCATAGTCACTGTGATGGTGGAGGGGGGAGTTGCTTATTTTCCTGTGGAAACTGAGAACAAGAAGCTTCAATGTGACCTCCCCTGCAAAGAGGGGAGAGCAGGGGCAACACAGCCAGGAAAGGCAAGGATGCTGGAAGGAAGGTGTCAACAGGAGGTTGTGTTTACCCACACAAGGGCACCCTGCATGATTTCACACAGATTTAATTCAGCTCATGCAAACTCCCGTGCAGATACTTACTTGTGGTTCAGGGAAGTTTATCTCTGCTAACAGGATTAGGAAAGGTTTAAGCTAAACCAAAAGAGAAGAATGCACACAAGTGCACTCACAGCTTTGAAAACAAACAAATACTGAACAAATCTGCCTTTAGACATGGCCAAAGCAACCAGAGCTCCATTCCCAGCAGCCCTTCACACAGAGAGCATGTTGTCTAATGACATCCTCTTTGCTGCTTTTCCCGCTGCACCCCTACCTTACCACCCACTCAGTACAGAAAATTGCTGCACTTTACACCTACATGCTGCTTAATAACTTACATCACTCCAGAATTTGGCCCAAGTAGCCACACTGGCTTACGAAGAGGTGTGCAAAACAGCTAAGCAAATTTTTTTGTCCCTTTAAGAGGGCAGTGGGCAGCAGAGTGTGCCTGTGCTGTAAGAGCCTGGCATTGTGCTGCAGTAGAAAGAGCCAGAGGCAGAACAGAGGGAAGCTCCAGCTGCTACCCCACATTCAGCACAGGGAAGCCATTGCTCAAACCAGGTACCACCAAGGCTTCCAAAAATCTCTACTAGTGGGAAAGCACCTATTTAAACAGTCCTTTTATACTGATAACTCTTGCACAGGTTAATTGAAAGGGCATTTGCTGCCTGTCCGAGTAATACTGCTGCCATCTGCACTGAGCTCTGCAGCGATTCAGCTGGAGGTACAATGTAACCCAGCAGGGAAAGCAAAGTTTACTGCATCCTCCTGGAAGGGCAGGGTGGATCTCCATCTGCAGGGCGTGGTTGCTTTGAGGTGGAATTTGGTTGGGACTTTGGTGTAATAGCAGGAGTCCCGTGATGTTCATTCTGGAAAGGTGAGGATGTTGGGTTTACATTTTTTCCAAAAGGTTAGGAGTTGTGGTGAGCATAATCATCCTGGCATGTCAGCCTGTGCTACCTAGGGGGAAGAGCACCACCTTCTGAATTACCAAGTCAAATTGACTGTAGCAATCAACTTCTCCTTCTAAGTCCCCTTCCAAAAACAAACAGGCCCAACCCTGCTTAATTTATGAGATCATAGCCCAAGGCAGTGGAGCTCTCTGGGACATCACTGCCTCACCCATCATCTACAAACATCAGTTGGGCAGGGATGGTATAGATCTCTCCCACATTTTACATACACAGAGATCTCTGACCAATGACATTATCCCACTAGAAAGTGCCTGCAGCAGCTCTCCAAGGTGGTAGGTAACCAGCAGAGCCATGGAAATAAGGACAAAGCAGTAGAGTCGTCAGGAAAATGTACTGTGCAGATCTCTAACCTCTCCTGGCTGGCTCAGAGTGAAAACCTTTTGCCCAAACTGGTGCTTGTCATTCAAAGATGCTTTTCATGAACCTTGCCACAACCAAGGCTTTGCTGCTCAGCTCTACTCCAAGCAGCATATTCATCTCCTCATCATCACTTCAGAACCCATTTGCATTGTTAAAAGAAATTGGTTTTCCCTTGATATCTTCAAATCAAAGCTGCCTGAGCTAGAGATCTTTCTTTCGTTAAGGCATGTTACTATCCTTAATGAGTTTCTCAAATGCATAATCCATACCTTACACTTCATAAATCACAAAGTCTTACTGTCCTACAATTCAGACCTGGCCGAACACTGAAGCAAAAATTTCTCATTGAGTTTTTCTTGAATCTGGCCTTTTCATAGCATTGGTTCTCTGACATCAATGCAGAAACCTTCACCACTGCTTACAAAATTAACGTTATTGACCCACACCTTACACGTGACAAAACAGAGGTCTGACAATCTTCAGAGGTTCATGAAAGGTCAGACTGTGACACTGCCTCTGAGCTGATATCTACCACTATCTACCAATTTCACTATCTACCTATTTGTTGCTTTGCAACACAAAGAACCATGAAACACAGAAAGACTAGGTGAAAAATAACTATTAATCTTCTCCTAGACAGGGCAGAAGTGTTCTAGTTGGTACATCTGATAACCATTTCATACGTCGCATCATCTTGGGTGTTCTTGACAGCCTCGTTCTTAGAAATTAGTTCCATTCAATAGTTTCACAAAGAAAATCAAATTAATTAATTGACAATATGTATACTACTCTTGCAGGCAAAAAAGCTGAGAAAAGCTGACATATAGAACAGAAGATCAGAATTCAAAATTATCTTTATAATCTGCAGAAATTGGGGAAGGGGGAAGTTTAATTTAGTAAAAATCAGTACAACATACTGTGATTGCAAGGCATCCTTCCTCCCTCCTCAACATGGGTAAGGTCTCAACTCGTGGATTGCCTCTAGCCTCAGACTCACCCTTCAAGAAAGATGTGGACAGATTGCAGAGTCCATGGAAAAGCAGAAGGTTGGGACACATGATCTCCAGCAACCACATGAGCTGGGATGTTTAGGCAAGGGGAGAGCTGGTTAAAATGGAGCAAGAAGAACATCTTCAACTGTGTAAAAGGCCATGCAAAAAATGCATTGACATTAGGGCGGCTGTATGATAAAGTTACTTTTGATTCCTGGACCCATCTCTGTAACAACTGTATGATTTATGGTTAAGAAAGAAGCTTGAAATATAGTTTAAGGGTAATCTACAGGTTAAAAAAAGTTGAAGTTAAAAAAAAAACTGAAAAAAGTTTGTCTTATGTCATGATTTGACTTGTACTGGATGAGAAGATCCAGAATTTTTGATCACAATTTGGCAATGTTCACTTGCTTCCCTAAAGGGTTTTTGAACGGAACCAGCATTGTATCAACCATGTTACCTCCTCCTATTGTCTGTTTTCACTGACATGGGTATCTTGAGCCTGGTGCAGCTTTCCAAAGCACCCAGGCTGCACAGGGACATGGAGTCCCTCTCTATTATATTGCAACTTAGCACAAAACTCTTCCTTATCTTCTTATCTTTCCGCAGAACTTTCTAAAACTCAATCTGATGTGCTCTGCACTGACTTACGTAGGTCTTGCAGTGCTCCTCACCTCTCAGATTTCATTCTCTGTGCCCTGCAAGCATCAACATCCAGACTAAGTTTTCCCTCCAGGTATGAGCTTGGCTTTCTCTCAGAGTAGTCTCATTTTCCTACCTAGATGCACACTTGCATTTCCTTAATCAAGAGCATGAACTTCCATTAAATAGGGGAGTCTGAATGACAAGTATTAGAATAATTTTTTTAACCTATCTCATTCAGTAGGCGCCTTACTTCCCTGCAGACCAGGCACCGCCTCCAGCCTACTCAAAAACGCTGTGCCCTTACTGACACCAGCATCTCATTTTTATCCTCATTTTCAGCTCCTTGTAGACAACAGAAAAAATAGCAACTTGTGCGGATCACATCTAAAACCACGTGCATAAGTTCAAAGATAATTAGCCTTTTAGTTGCTAAATGCTGTGCAAAGCACACATTTAACAGCTAAAACTGATTTTAATCTTTGCTTAATTCTTTTGCCAGAGAGTCCCATTCATAGTGAGGCAGCTGTCTAAATATCTTGGCCCCTTGGGGTGAGGAGACAGCGGAGCCTCTTGCAATTCTCGTGGGTGACCCCAGTTGGCTTCTTGAGAGCTGCTTCCAAATCAGTTGGGTCAGAGGATGCCTGTGTGGCTAGACCTCCAAAGAGATGATTTATCTGTGAAGTGCAAAAATTCTCTCTTTCCTCAGTTCAGGTAGTCAGTCTTAAGTTGTAAGAGAAATTTGGGTAGTGAGAGTGGCCAGATTAATAAGTAATGGCCATATTAGTGAGGAAGTACATGGATTTACGCCCCATTGCCTCCGTGCTGTCCAGGCATGAAACCACCAGTCACTGCATCCTTTGCCCCATGTGACAGTGTCCCCCTTGAGTCAAAAAGGCCCTGAACAGCCAGAGGGCAACTGCAAACAGTGGGACAGTCACAGAACTCTTGTACCCAAAATGCGAGACTGATATATTTTCTTTCATAACACCTATGAGTGCCTGCTTGTAATTATACTCCTCAAAAAAAAAGTAAATAGAATATTTTTTTTTAATCATCTCATATTAGACATTAGTGCTTTCTACAGCTAGGCAGTGTACACACATCCACACAAAGGGATGACACAAGGATCCAGCAACAAAAAGTTAATGAATCTGCTCTCTGCAACAGGCGGTACCCTACACTAAGGTTTATTTACCTCAGTGTCTTAATATTTTCCAGTATTTAGGGAACCAAGACAGTACTGTGTAATCAGATGATTACCCCTTCAAATTGGGTATGTAAAGTACTGTGATGGGAAGGAGCTGAACAAAGGAATGTGCCTATGTGTGCTGTGTGATGAGAAAATATGATTTGCTCCTTTTAAAAAAAAAGATGGTGCACTCCTCAATGGCACACCAGGGCTGATTATATTTTTAGTATTAAAATGCCCACTTTTAAAATTATTTTTCTATCTTTGCTTGACCAGTTTCTCTGTTATTGGCCCTCAGGTTCTAAAATATAGGGAGTGGCATAAAAATTGCATTATTTTCAATACGTTCCTGACACCTAATCAGGCAAGGCTCTCCATTACAATCACTTTCCTCTGTCAGACCCTTGGAGACCAAGGTCTTGTGTGAGGAACAGAGATGAGTACTGTGAAGCGTAGCTGGGAGAGGAGACAGATTGCAAGAGACATTTGGAAAGCTAACAGTCACCACAAGAGAAGATTTTTCCTTCAGGCATATGGTCAGCCAGTCTAAATTGCCAGTCAGTCCCTCTGCCAAATATTTCCCAGTGGGTGGCTCTCAGTGGCCCCCTGCTCAGCACCATACTTCGGTCCCAGGTCTCCTCAGAGACATGGTGCCAACTGGGAAAACTAAGGGCTTAGGAGAAGTTCAAGTGCCCTACAAATGGCAGGGAGTGTTATTTAGCTATCACTTCCCTAGGCTGTACAGTTAGCCTATAGACTGCACAACATGTTGAAGTGGGAAAGTTCTAGGCAGAGCCATGAAAATTATCATGAAGAAATAGCTTTTTTTATTTTCTACCAGGTTCCCTATAAGCCCAGTATATCCAGGTCTAAAACAGTGTTAATTCACACAAGAATGATAAAATACTGATCTTGAATAAACAGCCAACAGGACTCAGAAATCACACCTAAGAAATTACAGAAAGACTTGTCTAGAAACTGGGATATAAAAAATAACAACAAATCCATTTGGGATCCTTCAGGCTTGCCTGCAAGCTTTACAGTCACCTTCATGAGTTCACACCCACACTACGATTATACAAGCCCTCTTCTATTGCAAAATCAAACAAAACCCACAGTCTATCACAAAACAGGTAATAAAAACATGAGAGTGACTGCTATGCTCCCCAAATTGTGACTATTCCCAATTTGATATACCTTTTACCAGCTTGATCATCCAGGAAATTCTGCCCTTTCCTTCTGGAGTGAGGTTGATGGTTGCTGAAGGCCTCCTACAGCTCACCAATGGGCTCAGCATTTGCAGGATACAGCTTCAGATCAATGTTCTCGGCTGGATGGATAAAAATACAAATAAATCAAACCACAACCAAAAAAAGCCTCTGGTAACCCAGAAGAAAGCTTATAGTCATTATATTCATCTGCAGGATGTGAACTTCCCATGTCCTTACTGATTTCTCTTATTAAGCAATCATCAAGCACTGATAGGAACTTTTTGCAGGAAATGGGAGTACAATGTGTTTGTAAGAAAAACACCAATAGAGCAGGCAGCCAGTATAAGCCACTTGACATTTCAGGAAATTAAGTTATATTGTGGTCCCAGCTTATGAGTTCAGCAAGACCCATGAGAGAACTCTTTGGAGACCTGCTGTGCTTTTCTTTCAATAGTGATGGGCACACTGGCTCATTGAGGGCAGTAGCCGCGTGTGCTCTGTCACAGCCGTCCTGCTGCCCTTCCTCTCTCCCGGCAGCTCCTACCCTGCTCAGAGTCTGCATGCCCCAGCCAGCTTTGTCCTTTAGATGCTGAGCATGCTGTTCTGGGAGTGCAAAAAAAAAAAAAAAAAAAAAAGAGGACTTGGAAGGTCAAAAAAATCCAGTGAAAACAATAATAGAGTTTCAGAGAAAGCCTCAGACCTCTGTCAGACAGAGCTGAATGTATTTTTGAGATGCCAAGTTCAAAGCCCAGAGCATCTCACCCCTAGATGACAGATCACTTGGGGGTTGCAGGTATTACAAGTACAAACTGGAGATCCAGGGTCAGGCACTGAAGCTCACAGGGAACAGATTTATAGGCTGTTTTTGTCTACATCATTGCCAAGAGGGCAGAAAATAGGAGGTTGAGCAACAGCAGTACATGGGCCAGTTGTGTGGGATGTGGAGAGACACTCGTCCTGGAATGGAGGAAACAGCCACCAAGCTGGTGTTGTTCAGCCATATTCCTGGTGGAATTCCTGCTGATAGACATGGGGACAGAAGACAGTGAGCCACCTTGTAGAGATATATGTTCTTTTCCTGAGACTAGCTTGAAGCTGGCTGGGGAAGCTGTGGGCTGCCACCCATGGGCCTGTGTCCCAATAGCCTCTTACCTGCTAAGGTGGCAAGAGAAAGACAGCTATAGTAGACACACACATCCTTCCTTTGTGAGGAGGACAGAGAAGAGGGACATCTGGAAGCTGCTGGGGACTGTGTTCAGGCAGCCCCTTTCTCAAGGGAGTGCTACATATGCTCTGCTGGTTGAAATTTGCCTTAAGAGACCAAGGGCTGCACAGGTGCAAACACAATTCCGGTCCCCAAGGCTCTTGGGGGCTCTCCGCATTTTCACATCCAAAAAGCTTAGTTGGTCTTGGAAAGCTTGCAGGATTGCAGCCAGGACAACTACAATTCCCAGTCAAAGATATCTCCAAGGTGTCACATAGGAAATTGCTTTCTCCTCCTGTTAATTTGGTGTGGGCTTAGGGTCTCTCAGCCCACTGAAGTGATCAGTGCTTGCAGTATGTGACTTTGGACTGTTTTGGGAAGGGCAGCTGCCCCACTACTACCCTGTGTACACAGTTGGGCTAAGGGCAGCTTCCATATCCAGCTCAGCCTTCAGCTCTGCTGTGTGACCTCAGGCATGCAGATAAAATGGAGCCCTGAGGAGATGTAAAGATCTATTTGAAATCACCAGCTGAGCAAGAGAGGATCAAGAAGTAATCAGTGCCTCCCAGTCCCCATCCTCCCCTCACAGCCCTACTCCTAAAAGAGGAGCAGTAGGGGATTAATCAAACCCAGCACACTCTGCCCATTGAAGAGTTACAAGACTGTAAAACAACCCAGCTACAGACCAGCCTAATGAAGAAACAGAACCTTTTGTGGAAGAGCCATTGAGAATCCCATCATATTCTGACCCCAGTAGTGTCTACTCCATCATTTGCAATGGGATCATATAGGGAACTGAGATTAGCTAAATTAGTTAGAGCACGGTCCTAATAACACCAAGGTTGTGGGTTCAATCCCCATATGGCCCATTCACTTAAGAGTTGGACTTGATGACCCTTGTGGGTCCCTTCCAATTCAAAATATTCTGCAATTCCATGAAAATCATGTGAAGGTAAAATACTTAATTAAAACACTAATGCTGCAAGTATTCACCTCCACATAGGTGTGGAAACCTTCAAGTTTCCTTTTCATTATATGGATGAGATCCTGCTTTTCACTGGCACAATAGAAAATAGCCACAAAAATTCCACACACACAGCATCAGACCCCGCGACCAGCCTCAACACGCAGAGCGTCAGTAATAAAACACACCCCTGCAGGGATTTAGCACTTTGGCTTCTGCTCAGCTGGGGGACTTGGGCAGGACTTTCACTCTTCAGACTTAAAAAAATATTAATTATAATCAGCTCTGTCATTATTTCAACCCCCGCACTCCCCCTTCCCTGTTAGCAAATGGAAAAGGAGCTGTGTGCTGATGGGATTGTGGGTTGCATGAACAAGATGGGGCTCTGTGTGTGTGTGTGTACTGCTTTTGCCCTGGAAATCAAACAGCAGCTTTAGCAAGGGCATCCTGGGAAGGGCCCTCAGGTGCCAAAAGAGAAATTCAGGGAAACATTCTTTTATTAAAACAATTACAACAGCTGCTGCAGGTACTTCCTTATGCACACATACAGGCACCCCTCCTTCCTGTCCATTGCACACATTCCCTCTGCCACAGACATTCTTGCACAAACAGATGACAAAGTAGTCTTCAACTTAAATCTGTGCAAGACCCATGGCCCTTCTCTTACCAACCTGCCATACCTCCCTGGTGCATTTGTCCTCCTCACCCCTGTCCTTCCCAATGACATCCTGCCTTCTCCTGTCCTCTCAGAAGAGTCTCTGAAGTGCACACTCAAGTGAGGTTTAGCACTGGCACCAACATAGGCATTGCAGCCAAGAGGGCTAGAGGCTAGAGAGTGCACAGGGCCTGAAATGACCAGATAAGGCAGAGATTTCTCAGGGATTCCTGAAATTATCTCCTTTCCTATAGAGTATCTTACTCAATTTCTAATTGTCTCTTTCCATGAATTGCAGTGGTGGTGTCCTGCAGCACTCACTGATCAGTGGTTAAGTGAGGGGTAATGCACCAAAGTTTGGGAATTAGCTCTTTGCCAAACACCTTTGTGCTCATTCATATGCATGGAAAAACAAAACATGCACCTCCCCATAAAAGTTTGTAAGGCTGCTTCCACAACACCTGGAAACTTTCTCCCCCAGGGTCCTGGTTAGACTAGTTGCAAGGTGCCATTCCTGATTTTCCACTACACCCTTCCATTGCACTGTCACATTCTCCTTCCAGCTCTACTCCACCCACATGTCTGAGCTATCCTGCTTTGGCCTTTCATACAGTATTTAGCCTCGAAGCTTGACAGGGTCTCCTTGTTAGCTGCCTGTGTAATCTACCAACACAGGGCTGTGATCCACATCTGAAGGCTTCAAGAGGGAAACTGCAAACCCATAATATCAAGGGCCATGCAACTATTCTGTCTCTCATTGGAAAGCCTGCAAAGGGGCAGGAAAATGCAGACACACTGGTGCATCTCCCTTCTCTTACACATACTCCTCTCCTTTACAGTTTACCTGCATTGCAAATGGAGTTTGGGAAGAGCATGGGACTCCAGGCAGGACCACTGAGCAGGCCAGGCCATCCCTGGATATGCTGCATGGAGCCATACCTCTACGTTTCCCACAGCTGGCTGCAGGGCTTAATCTGTAAATTGATCCAAATGGACAATTACAAGAAATATTAGGCTCCAACACATGATGGAGGGAAGACTACAGACACACAGCACTGGAGAGTGGTAGAAGACCCATAGCCTAAGACTGCTGCCTTCATTTTCACCTTCACTGTTGCTGCTGTTCACACTTTGACCTGGCCATGCACCCTGCCATGGTCAAACAGGTAGCAGATGCTGTTTTTCAGGTCTGTTAGCATAACATCTTTGCTCTGTGCAGGTGTTGGCAACCACACTTACCTACAAAGCAGGGCAAAATCCAGCCCAGCCTGGAGAGCACTGCTCTAAGGTGATCACTGGAGGCTACATTTCACCTGGCAGGCACAACCCTGCAGTGGGGCACTGTGGTGCTACAGCATATATGGCAAACACCATCTTGCTCAAGGAAGACACTTACTTTCGTTATGTTCTGTAGCTGGTCAATCCATGATAATGGTTTGCTCCTGCTCCTACCAACTCTTTGTTCATTTTGGGAACAATAGGAGAAGCAACACGTCACGCTCTAGGCAATTTCCATTTGCCTTAGGGCAGGATGACCTCTCTCTTCACACAGATACCAGCTGGCTCTAATACCAGAAACAGAAGGACATTCTGATCAAGACCCAGGCTAATTAGCAAGAAATTTGGATTTCAAGCACTTTCTAGTTAGACTTGCTTGGGACAAACCATTGCAACTTACTATGTCTCAACTTCTTCATATGGAAATTGGAGGGATATAAGACTTCTGAAGCTCCAAAAAATCTAAAAGGGACAAGGGCTAAATGTCTGTTAATAAACTCCCCACTTGCCTCAACAGCATCTGTCCAAATGCAACAGATATCCAGCTAGCCTTGGTAAAAAAGAGGTCAGTAAGCAGACAGAAAACCTTTTGACCTGCAAGGCAGACATTGTTCTGTCAGTGGAGGCTTGCAAAACACTTGAGAACCTTTAACACAGCATTTCAGCTCTGAGATTTGAACAAGGGTAAAAGCATATGCAGTGGGCTCATAGTGGGATGCATAAAGGTCTCCCAGAAACATGACATCTAGATGGGAAAAGCATTAATGTCTGAGAAATGCTTCTGTAGGGGCAGAAAATTGGATGAAGCAGTGAAAGATGTAGCTCAGCAGCTCAGCCCATTGCCCAAAATAACCAGGTGGTGGCATGTGGGATCCTCCCCCACCAAGCCCACCAGCAAATGCACCAGCAATCCCAGCGTGTGTTCACCCTGTCATCAGCTTTGCTGGGCATTAGTGGTGGACAGCACCCCACCCTGAGAAAACATGGGGCATTCTTGGCACTTCACACTGCAGGCAAG